GAGATCTGCCACGTGTCCCTCATTTACTCCCTTGGTCTGGATGTGAGTGACTCATCCTCTTGAGTTGCGGGTCAAGAAACCGCCTTCACTCTGGCTGGGCGAGCCCCTTGTTCAATCCACCATGCCTCAAGAACCCCATTTCCTGCCCGCTCTCCTCATTGCGTGGCAGACGCCATACTTAGAGCTCTTGAGTACTGATATTTTGCGCGCAAGTGCCAATACTCACCTGGGCAATATCTTAGTGTAAGATGCCGCAGTTCACGTTTTATCCTACACTGCCTGGTATTACCCTTGCCGCTACAACTACCATACCCGGGTGCGTATCGCCTTATATCTCGTGTTTCCCTGGTAGTTGGCGACCCTGGACTATTTTTTGATCTTGCACACACTATGACATGTATTGTTGATATTAGGCGCGCCATAACCCATAGTCCTACCTTGATCTAACATGGATCTTCCTAAGGTTCTCCCTGACGCCTCAGGCTTTGCTAAGCCCGTGCTCAACACTGAGCGCAATACCTTTCTTTTTATCTCGAGTGGGCTCTTGACCCATCTCTTTAGTTTTAATTGGCAAGTGTTACTTTATTTATTTATTATTATTGTTTTTTTCTATTTTTTCCTGAGAGTACCAAGTGAAACCCGTCGCATCGGCCTCTCTTTTTGTCACTTGCAAAATATCAATTTAAAGGGTGACCCGGGCAAGCGCCACATGACACTTGCCCATATAAAACTAAACCCATATGGACACCTTGGGCGAGTGCCATTACAGGACCTGCCCAAAACAAGTTATATGGGCGAGCATCACTGCCCATAATGAAGTACTAAAAATAAGGAAAAGATTATTTGTAATAAAATAAATATGAATTCATAACAGTAACAAAATATATATATATATATATGTACACACATACTAATAGAATCATATAACAAGGACAAAGGCAGACATGTGGTGCCTGCCTTTCTTTTCTTTAGCTTTATCAAATGGGTCTTTGATATGACCTTTCCATTACTTTTTCCTTTTGGTAAATCCCATGGCAGAGATTCTTCTATTCTTCTTTGCAGGCACGCCCTTATACTTTACAATGTATTCTCTTCTTTATATTTTCTTTTAGTTACATTTGCTTGGGCGAGTGCCCAGCCATTGCATTTGCCACTCGCCCATACTTGTATATTTATGCATTAACCTGGGCAAGTGCTGAAGCTTGGCACTTGCCCATATATTTATATATATATATATATAAATACACACACACATATATATTGCTTTATAAAGCACCGCAGGACATTACATAATCAGTGAGTGTCTGTGTGTCCCTCGTTCAATTAGATTTCCAGTGTCCCAATATTTTCTCTTGCCCGGGCAAGTGACACGTGGCACTCACCCATCCAACTCCTATTATTTACTTGCTAGTTACACATTTATATATATACCTTGTGTGCTACATTTACTAAATGACTCTCATAACATCTAATTGCAAAGAACATTAACTCCTTTAGATCCAAGGAAAATAACTAAAATCTGGTACTTTTTGAATCAGTATTGCAAAGAAAAAGAGCAGGAGAGGGCTGGCCTCTCATGTGAAATACAGTCGTATAGGAATTGGAAGGAGCATCAGGATTGAGTCCTCAAAATCCTTGCTGGGGGCAGCCAGAGCTGAAATCTGAAACTCCTCCCAGAATTCTGCTCTTGAGACAATTCAGCCTCACTTTTACAACCCAAAAGCTTCTTGGAGAAACCAACACAGAATATCGCATGTAACCCTCCCCCAACCCCAAAAACTATATAAGTAAAATATTAAATACAAATAAAAAAATTATAATTTTCCTTCATCCTTAAAAGGAGGGAAATTACAATACAATGGGATACCATTCCATTTTGCTGACATGGTATCACCAAACAATTAAATCTTAACATGTAGTATGGGTCCCATCTAATTACATGCATTTGAATTAAATGTCATGTAACCAACCATGTAATACCCCTAATTTTAAAAAGGATAGTCCATGTATTTATTTAATTGTTTAATTGCGATTTAATTTATTTAATTGAGAATTTGGTGATTTAATTGTGAATTGGTTGTGAATTATTTAATGACTTGGTTTTCTGTTGTTTTATTTAATTGTTTTGCTTTAATTGTTGTTTAATTGGATTTATTTTATTTTATTTGACTTAATTATATCTTTCGTTAAATGTGTTTTTGTTAAATTAGGTTTTTAGACGTCACATATGTAACCGACATAGTTAAGCATTGATTAGGTTTTCTATGGGCCGACTAAGGATTTGTGTAGGGTTTGAATTAAATTAGGGTTTTGTGTAAACCTGTAAACCTATAAATATATGTAATGAGCGTCTGCCTAGGGTTTTAGAACCCTATTCACGGCATACTGGAAGCAAGAAATGTATAGAGAAGTCTGGGACAAAACCAAAGGATCGCCGGAAAAGCTTAGGAGAAAGACGTTGAGATTTTTGAACCAAATCTCACAGGCAAGTTTTATACTAACTCTATCTCTTTGGCCTGTGTTCTTTGCATCTCTAACACAATCCCAGGATGATTAAAAGCTAAATTAAATTGCTTGGTTGCATGGAATTTGTTCAAAACAGTTTGTGTTTCTGATTAAGTATTTTGCTTGTTTTTATTCTGTTTTGTGTAACTCTTGTTCCAATTGAATTTAATTAATGAATAATGAATTTAAATTACTCTGGAGCACCTCGGGAATTAGTTTTAACTAGAAAGAAAATTGGTTTGAAGGATTAAACAAATTCTATATAGTATGTATTCATGGTTTTGGTTTTGGCTTGCGGAAACTGTTTTTGCTAAATTCTTGTTCCAATTGAATTTGGTTAATAAGTAATGAATTTAATTAACTCTGGATCACCCTAGGACTAAGTTTAATCAATCAGAGCATAATTAAAAGCGTTAGAGACTGTAATAGAGAGGAACGGAAACAATGGAGATCACCGGAGACGAAACAAGCAACCAGGAAGAGAGGGAAAAAAAGAGGCGGCTCCATGGAATCATGGAGCCGGCTCAAAGAAGGTTGGAGGCGGCTCCAACATGTTTGGAGGCGGCTCCATCATGTTTGGAGGCGGCTCCAACTTGGTTGGAAGCGCCTCCTTCGACGGTTTTCAATTTTTTGACTTTTTTGCGAACCTAGACTACTGCGGTTGAATTTTTTAGGTCCCAGGCTGATTCAAGAGCTATTCTAGGGGTAAGGTAAGAACCCTTGTTAAATGGGCAGAAGATATGGTAATTCATAAGATACCATAGGAAGCTGAAATAGGGTCACAGTCTAACCCTTAGGGAAGTTTTCAGTTTAAACTTTGTTGCGGACGATTCAAGTTGTTTAATTTTCTAAATTAGCAATTGAATTAGGAGTTTGATATGTAAATCATATAACAGTGGTATGAGATTAAGCCTGTTAACTAATATAAATTCAGTTGATGCTTAATAAGAAACTAGTTGATGTTTACCGATAATTGTTTATGTCAACTTGTGGGATGTTGTGGAGTAATTACAAGTAAGCATGTAAATACTGTTAATATTATTATTATGCTTATTGTGAGTTACAGGATGGTTATATTTATTCTCTGCATTTAAAATTTGTTAGAGAATCAGGTACTGGATGTATTGAACAAGCATGCTAGTTAAACATTCTTGTTATGCTTATTATGGGATATGTTGATATTGATATGTTATGCTGTCATATATATATTATCAATACTGGATGGATGGTTTGTATGCACCGGTATGGGACGGTGACATACTAGGGGGATTAACTCAAAAAGAACGCTAAATCCTACCTACTCTGGATTAAGGGATGGATTAACTACAAAAGTTAAGTCCTACCTGTATTTTGTGTCAGATCACTAAATGGTTGTGTGACACTTTTGGTTTGGAACGGATTTTAAATATATTTTTATGGTGCCACGATATAAGCCTGAGTCTCAGAGTCGTTGGCTAGGGAGCGTATATGCATTGGGATGAATAGCTGGCTATGATGGTTAGATGTGTACCCTACTAGGTCTAGGTAGTCATGCCCACCTCAGATGCGTTTTGCATGGTGCCTACTAGTCAGGTTGAGAAGGGCCTGTAGTCCAGTGAGAGTCCTGTAGTGTGATTATATATATAGATATCTACGGACTATTAGTTATTGTTGGATTGGTTAAGATGTACATGCGTACCAGGTCTCTGCTTGGGTAGTAGTAGTATAAAACTTGCTAGTGGGCCTAACCCACTGATCATTTTTCAGGTGACGGGCGTTTCCAGTCTAGGGCTTGTTCGGGCTGAGCAGAGACGATCTTCCATTCTACCGACGATGTAGGACTTTATTCCTTATGTTAGATTTGGATTTTATCTTCAGTTATTTAATTACATTCAGTTTGGGATTGTTATTAGGGGTCCACTAAAGATGGATTCCCGAGTTGTAAAATTATTGAAGGATTCTTTTTAAGAAGGTTTTGGATAATTGGATCTCAAGTATTTTAATTTCAAGGATTATGTTTAGTATTCTTTTTAGCTTTTAAACTTTTATTTATTAAATTCATTTTTGTATTCTGTGTTCGGTTAAATATTAATTGGTTGGTATCCCTCGGATCTGTGCTCGGACTTGATCACCCGTGGCTCTAGAATCGAGGGGTATCACAAACCACTTGCATTGTGTAGACCCAAAATATATTATATAATTGGTCATATTGTGTCTGCTTATGATGTGGTAACTGGTATCACCATTACAATTTAGTTTTCTCCACCAAAAGGATGATGTTTGGTACAAAAGGATAGCAATAGACCAAAATACCCAACTTAGCCTAGCTAAACCAAACTAGGACCCACTCAAAATCACAAAAATACCACTGAACCCAAACCAACAATGGAAACACCTGAAAAGATTAATTCATTCATTAATTATACATACTTGTATAACTTTTGAATCAAAATTTTACTAGTCCTACAAATAGATATTTCAAGACCTCATATCAAATTTAACTGTTGAAAAATTACCATGTTCATCTAAAGCCACAAGAAGCGACAAGTCATCTGTTAGTTTAGCTTCACCGACGTGTTGATGAGGAGGACCCGAAGGAATAATTGATCCACCTTGCAGATATAGTGCTGGTAGATCCTAAAATATTCATAAAAAATAGTGAAAAGGAGAACACAAGTACAAAAGCATCAATAATTGGCAACTATATGAAAGGGTCGAAGGACAAAGAAGTAGCAGTTTCAGATCTATAGTAACAATACCGGATGTGAATCATCAAAATCAAAACTCAGCCAAATGCCTTTAGGCAAGATATGCTGCAACTGATCCAAGCCCTGGTCACGGATAGTGCTGATGGATATAAAAAAGAAGTTACTACAAGTTGCAAGAATTGAAGCAGAATCTAAAAGCCCCCCTTTCCCAAACCAAATAAATGTGGAAAGAAGAGAAAGAGAATATAATAATAAATAAAAAAGCACCAATAATTGAAAATATTTAGAAGGTCTTGCTGTTTACATTTAAAATCAGTAGGACCACACTACTACCTTCACATTTCCTATCTCTCATTCACACCCAGTAATGCAAACAAAATATATTCAAAATGTAGTAAATTGTGAAACTCGGAAATTAGAAATATTATACGAAAATGAGGCTCTAAGAGAGACATGAAATTACATATTTCTAAGTACAATAGTCAACAGACATGGATCCTTCTTTCTCAATGTAAAATGAAATGTTGGAAAAGGAGTTGGATGAGGTATCAAGTACTATGTACCTATCAGGAAAGGGGAAAAAAAAAATTTGGAAAATTGGAAAGAAAAATAAAAATGAGGCTTTTGTATTATAATTGTTATTTCATCATACTTTGTTAACATATATTTGCATAGACATGGACAGAGCAGCCTATTCACAGGAAAGTAGTCTTTCAAAAAAATAAAAATGAGGCTTTTGTATTATAATTGTTATTTCATCATACTTTGTTAACATATATTTGCATAGACATGGACAGAGCAGCCTATTCACAGGAAAGTAGTCTTTCAAGTAACACACAAAGATTATATAAGCTACAAATAATATGATATCTATCTTATAGTTCTGCAATATAGTAGAGACTCAAAAATCATGCCCCAGTGTAATTGAAAAAGTTCAGAACTAACCTACAGATAGAAGGAAAATCCATGAATTTTCACAAAAAATAGAAAGATCATACAAGCTAGTAAAATGGATACATAGCACAATATTGTCATCATGTGGCTTAGAATGATTTAACAAAAAGAATGGAACTTTATCTACTAACAATTCAAAAATGAGCCTCCTTAAGCCATTTTTTCCAGGAGCAAAAAAACTAGGGTCCAAACAAGCTGAGCCAAGCCAAGGATCATGCTCTCTTAGCCCAATCAGCTGCAATTTCAGCTCAATCTCAAGCTAAGCTTAGGACTAGCTCCGTTTGGCAAACCAGTGTACTGTGCAGATCTGTCTCGAAACACATCAGACGCATCCAAAGAAATTTAGTGGTTTGAAAATTTTACTAGCTTTGATTTGCTTCAAGAAAAGCATAGCTCCTTATCATTATACTGCAAATTTTCTTTTATTAAATTACATTATGCACAGAAGTTAGATGGTTTCAAATATATTGGACAAACATGTCAATCAGAAATTATCGCATTGTAGTAATGCTGGGAATTTATCCCCATAAGCAAAGGCTGCTGTTGCTCGGACTTGACTCGTTTAGTAAAAGAGATCTTGATTCGGACTGAAGACTGGCCCATTTAGTTAATAAACAAACTTAATGAGCAGCAAGATGGTCTGGGCTGAGCTGTCACTTATAACTCTATCTACTTCCAGCCCTACTACTCTATAAAAATTATATTCCCCTCCATATCCAGAGTCCAGACTAAATAAGGAACATAAATGTGAAATCATTCACAGAAAAACTTAGTGATTCCAAGTAGCACTAAAGCGAGGATATCAGGTAATAGTGCAATACAAATATGTTTGAAACTCTACAATCACCGAGTACATCATTATGGAAGAGAATGAGAACCTTGCATATATTAGAAGTGGCCCCAACAGAAAAGAAGTTTCTTGTGTTCTTAACCTGGGATCTTTTGGATCTGCAGAAGCAATTTATATCAAATTAAAACCCCCTGAATAAAAAAAAAAGTATATACCAGAATAAACTAATTCAACAGCATGAAAACGCACCAGCAAAGAAAGTAGGGGTTGCCACCAGAGTACCCCTTGAATGTGCCATATAGAAAAGAGTATAAATGTGTGGTATAAGACGGTAGCGCCTCTCTAACGCCAGGCGGCAAACCTCCTCACACTGTAAAATGTTCATACTCAATGATATATGTGGGTGAACATCAGAAATTGGAACTCATACTCAAAGAGAATAATGTAAACTTCAACAAAGAACAATTTGCAACAGCTATGTTTCTAAGAAGTGGATTAACTGTTTTGTCCATTACTTCAAGCAGTGAAATATTGTATTTCCGCAATAATACAAGACAATTTATTTTTTTTATTTTTTTTCTCTTTTACCAAAGAGAAACGAGTTATCCAACAACCTCACAAGTACTTTTGAGCACATACGCATAATCATAATGACATTTTTTCCCCCTTTTGGCATAGACCCTTGCCTGCTTATCGATAAGAAAAAAGAAATGTAGAGGAAGCTGGGACATAAAGAGGTCTACAATATGGAAAAAGAAAGAGATGGGAGAAGATAGAGAGAGAAGAACTAACTCTTATACAAGTGAAAATAATCTACCTCAAAAAAAAATAAAATAAAATAAAAAAATGTGTGTTCCTACCTAACTGAATAGCGCCTCTAATTTAAGACAGCATAAATTCTTTGATGCTAAAAACCCATCACCACTAAAAATGTGCCAAAAGTGCAAGCTTTTCCGCAGCTCTGCTTCACTCCCTATAAATAAAAATTATATTGGAAGTTCAAGCTCAATCCTTGACTTTAAATATTAAGTTAACAAGTCCTAGCTGGAAAATCTGGTTAAGAATGAAAAGTAAATTGTGAATCGCACTCCACAAGAAGATTAGACAACATTCTTATGAACAGTAGTGGAGAACGATTCTGCCTATGGGAATCCCCGAGAACACCTCCAACACTCTCCAAAGTGAAGTTGTCCTGACATGTATCATAAGTATCGAGTTTAAGACAAACTATAGGGATTGTTCCATTTGCACAAACCAACTCTAATACAACAGACAAAAGCAGCAGTGATTCAATGTGTTGAGCATGTTACTTTGAAGTGTAAACTAGAATACCAAAGCAGGAATTTATGCTTATTTCACATAACAATAATATAAACAGAGGAACTAGGGTTGAGCCATAACACCTCACGGGTAAAATTATGACCACTGTAGTAAATAAATCCCAAACTAACTTTAGAAGAGTTTAAATTACTGTAAACTCAAAATGTTTCACCTATAAAAGACTTCATAATATACGGTAAGTAAAGGAACACTCCAAATAGAAATAACTGTGTATAAGAAGTATAGGAAACTTTTTGCTCCTCATTTTTTTCAGATTTATGTTCCTCACACAACTTAGCAATGCTCTATACTAATAATAAGATGACAGATATAATTTTAATATAATATCTCATCTATTATGGTGAAATATTTAATTGTGTGTGCATACTATTCAGAAATTTCCTAAAGCCCAGACCTTGAAAACTTTGACAACGAGCACTTTCCCATAACAAAAATGAGCTCGTTGAGATGCCCCTGCTTTGCTTCTAAGAACTGGCCACTTACATGAAAACTCTCTCCTGCCTGTGGGGAGAGAGAGAGATTTATCCAATATAAAGCAAAAAAATCTCTATTATTTATCAACCCATCTAAAAGCCCCTGACAGAGTCAGAGCAGCCATCAGAATTCTTCACAAACACGAAGAAATCCATGCTTGAACCGAAGCAAAAGGTGTTGCCTCCATCTTCTTTCTCAAAAAGCAAATGACATACTGAGGTCTCCCTTAAGCACCAATAATTCTGGCAAAGCTCTCTCCCCTAAATGTTCAGATTCTGCAACATCCAAAGCACGACATTTTTCATCCACCGAGGAAATCAAATATGCAACACATTGCACCATCTCCAATATCCTTAAAGTTACAGGAACTAGAAAAATCTCTCCCAAAATCTACATCTTCTTTGTTAGAAGTTTTATATATATATGTTGGGTCATTATGTAATTACATTTAGTTAATAGGACCCTTGTGTTATTATGCAAGACTTGTACCCTTTATATATAAGCCTACACAGGCTTATTAGGTTATTGTGTTGAATATACAGTATTTGTGTTTTGCTCTCTCTCTCTCTCTCTCTCTCTCTCTCTCTCTCTCGATTTTGAACATGGTATCAGAGCAAAATGATCATGGGTGTGAGAGTCAGTAGGTGGGTTGCTTTGTATCAGATCTGAGTTCTTGTATACAATCTGAATCACAATCGGAATCACGATTGTGTTTTTGGTGTCTCTGCCGGCAGCTTCTCCTTCGTCGTCATCGGCAATTTTTTGTTCACCGTAGTCGGATCTGCAGTCTCGTTCGTCGTCATCAGATCTGAAGCTTGTTTGTCATCGTCTCTGCTTTCTTCATTGTCGCCGGCAGCTCCTCTTTGGTTGTCAGCGAGCTCGCCGACATCTGCCGTCTCGATTTGCAGAGGTGAGGTTGGTTTTTTGGTCGGAAGTTGCAGCCGCGGCTTGTGATTGGGTTGCTGTCAGCAGCCGCTGCTTGTGATTGGGTTGCAGTCGCTTCCGCTGTGTTGTACACTGGTGTTTGTGAAGGTGTGAAGAAGAAGACCCGTGTTTGGCTACAAGGTTATGCCATTCCAACCCAGGTTTAGTAAACCTGGGATAGCTATTCCAATTCCGGTTTACTAATCAGGGATAGCCCAGATCCGGCCCGTTTGCCCAGGATCCGACCCGTTTGCCCAGGATCCGACCCGTTCCCAGGTTCGGCCAGAATACAAATTCTGCATTTTTTTTTTTTTTCTTTCCCTCTTCTTCTCTGTTTTCCTAGATTAAATATGGCGTCCAATTCAGATTTGTTTTCTCCCACATTAAGTCTTCATTCTCCCATGACTTCAGTTAAACTCAATGGGAAGAACTACATACTGTGGGCTAAATCTGTTGCCATTTTTCTCAAAGGCAGAGGTCTGGGAAATCATCTGACTAAAGATAAACCCAAGGAAACTGATACTTCTTTTGATACATGGGAAAAAGAAGATGCTCAAATCATCTATCTGCTGTTAAACAGTATTGAACCCCAAATCAGTTCAACTTTACTTTACTTGGATACTGCCAAGGAGATATGGAACAAATTGCAGCAATTGTATTCTGAGACAGGTAATATCACTCGTGTTTATGAGCTATGTAAGCATTACTTCCATCTTGAACAAGGTAATCATAGTATAGAGGCGTATTATTCCACAGTTATGGGAGTCTATGAGGAGCTAAATATGTATCAGCCCATTACTGCTGATGTTCGCAGTATGTAACAACAGCGTGAGGACTTTAATGTTGTCCGTTTTCTCATCGGTCTGTTATCAACATATGAGCCTTTTCGTGCACAGATTATGGGCAGTCCCACCCTTCCCTCTCTTGCTGAGGTGTTCTCCCGACTTCAACGCGCTACACTTGCCAGTGACACCTCAAATTTGAATTCTGGGTAGAGTGGTGAGAGTTCCGCTTTGGTAGTTTCAAAGGGTGAACATAATGCTTACCGTGGAGGTCGTGGGGGACGTTCCACTCGTGGTGGTCGTGATTCACGGGGAAGACGTGGCCGTGGCAGGGAACCACGAAAATGTACTCATTGTGGCCTTTCTAATCATCCTGTGAACTATTGTTGGGACCTTCATGGCAAACCATCTAGTTATGCCAATCAAGTTTCCTCCTCTCCGAATGATGTTGCTTCTGCATCTCACAACGTATCTGAATCAGCAACAGTCTCGGTTCCACGGGAAGAGTATAATCAGTTTTGTCTTATAAGCAAGCATCTAATTCATCTTCCACGACTACCTTTGCCCAGTCAGGTAATGCGCCCACGTGTCTATTGTCTTCCACTCGCAGTCCTTGGATCATAGACACTGGAGCATCCGATCATATGACTAGATGTTCTTCTCGTCTATCTGATTTTACTTATGTACCTTCTTCTCAACGTGTTACTCTTGCTAATGGTTCATCCACTCAAGTTTCAAGTTTGGGGACTACTCAGCTTAGTGATTCCTTGTCTCTCTCATCTGTTTTATATGTTCCGCAATTTCCCTTTAATTTAATGTCTATTAGTAAGCTTACTAAATCTCTCCAGTGCTCTGTTACATTTGATCCTACTTTTTGTGTGTTTCAGGATCTCAAGACGAAGAAGAAGATTGGTACGGGGCATAAAGCTGGTGGCTTATATTATTTTGATTTGGAACCTTATCCTATGGCTCTTCAGTCTTCTCTGTCTCCATTCTAATGGCATTGTCGTCTTGGTCACCCGTCACTTCAAGTTTTGAAGCGTCAAGTTCCTAGTCTTAGTCATTTGAAATTCTTGTCATGTGAAGTTTGTCAACTTAGTAAGCACCATCGCGTGTCTTTCAAGTCTAAGGTTAATAATCGTGTCTCTAGTCCTTTTCATTTGGTTCATTCAGATGTATGGGGTCCAATAAAGCATTCTTCAATTAATAAATTTCATTATTTTGTGACTTTTGTGGATGATTATTCTCGCCTGACTTGGTTGTTTCTATTGAAATATCGTTCTGAGTTATTTTTAATTTTTCAAAAATTTTGCAAAGAAGTCAAAACTCAGTTTGGATACCCAATTCGTATTCTACGTTCTGATAATGCTAAGGAATATTCCTCAAACCCCTTTGATACATATCTTAGTGATAAAGGAATTATTCACCAAAATTCATGTGTTTATACTCCTCAACAAAATGGAGTTGCAGAACATAAGAATCGACACCTCTTAGAAGTAACCCGTGCTCTTTTGTTTCATATGCGTATGCCTAAACAATTTTGGGGTGATGCTGTTCTTACTACCTGTCATCTTATTAACCGTATGCCATCCTCTGTATTAGATGGCAAATCTCCATATTCTATCTTATTTCCTGATTCTCCCTTGTTTTCTCTTCCTCCTAGAGTTTTTGGATGTGTATGTTATGTCCACAATCTTGGCCCTGGTTTTGATAACTAGACCCTCGTGCCACAAAATGTGTCTTTCTTGGCTACTCTCGTTCTCATGAAGGTTATCGCTGCTATAGTCCTGTTTCTCAACGGTACTTTATTAACACGGATGTCACCTTTTGTGAGTCCATCCCATATTTT